GTCCCGGACTAAATATGCTTCGAGATTAGTCCAGGACATGTCTCGGACCAAGACTGGTCTGAGATACATTCGAGACAGTCCCGATACGTGATGCACCGGGATTGTTTACATTCAATCCCGGACCAGGTATAGATCCGGGATTGAAGTAATTGCAACAATCTAATTTTTTTTTTTTTTTGTCAACAGCCAAATCTAGTAGTTGAACCTATTAATGGGAAAATATTTCAAAAAAGTTCAACAATTATAGAGTACAAAAGTTTGTGTAAAGGTAACATACCTCAAGTGAAATTGTGGGGACAATGATTTTGGATAATGTGAGGACAAAGAAAGATCAAACACGTACGTAGTTGAGCGGATTTTGAAAACGGGATCTGTGAGTTATACATAATCTATAATATTAACAAGTTCAAACATATGTAAAATATGGGTTAACAGTTTGGTGAAATGGTTAGGTGGAAATCATAAATGCACATTTATTAACAATGAGGGTAAATTGGTCTTTTCCCATGAATAAAATATTTAAGGGATCGTAAATAAGGGGTGGAGGGGTCACAAATTAGGTTTTTTAAAAATGGAGTCATTTATCCAGTTTCAGTTATTGAAGGGATCACAATTCAAATTTCCCTTGAAACTTCTTCCATTCTCTTCTTCCTTTCATCTTCCATTCTCTTCCTCTCTACTCTCTGGTCTCTTCCTCTTCCATTATTTTCCAAACTTTTCTTTTTCCTCTTCCATTCTTTTCCCCATCAAAATTTTACTTTTATCTAAAAAATAAAAGCATCAAAATAAGTGCAACATTTTATTTTTCAATAGACATTGATACCTAATCACTTAAGTTGTGCTAAAACTCATAAATTAGTATACCACTTTATACAATATCTAAAAAGAGGTTTAAAATAATGCAAAGAAAATTTCTAAATTAAAAAATTAAAAGTTGATGTTGAGATACTCATAAATGAATTAAATTTACCCAATTCATCAACTTAAGCTTTTGAGTTGAGTTGAAGTTTATTCATCTTTTAACGGTCGAAATCTCCACCCCTGAGATATTGTTGAACTTTAAAAGGTTGAGAAAATAGAGCTAGTTCAATGGTTGAGAAAATCAAAAAAATAACATCTACATGATAAATAAAATGAAGCTATTTGCAATTTTTTGTTATTTATCTGGCTTTTCTTTTATTCAATCTTCCCACGAGTATAATGAAACAATTTACGTTAAATAAATTTATAAGAAATGGTACAAAGTATTCAATACGTGAGTAATCTAAAATCTATTTTTGTGAAAAGAAAGAGAGAAAATTGGTGACATACAACAGATCATATTGAACAGTTGATGGGAACCAATCTCCCCACTCAATTGTCTGTCTTTAAGAAAATACTGTTGTAGGCACCTGCATACCAAAAATAAAAGTCACCACTCCCCCTTTGGCATCATATATCTATCTCATTCGAGACTTAATTTGAAAATCATATTTAGACGATAAAACGAACATATTAACAGATATTCAACCACTCGATCCTCCAAGTTGATTCTCGTGCAACAATCACCTAATCCTTTAATATTTGGTATAAACCAATGAAGCATTTAAATCTTGAAGTATAAAAGTTTAGTGTGTCCTTTAAGCTGTGCATCAATGCCTTTCTTGGAGGGTGGTTTCTTTAATGTCTTCCCTGTTTATAATGTTAACAAGTTCAAGTATGTCTAAAAGATGAAGAAACCTAATTCAAATATAACACCACCTATAATCCAAATTAATTACAACTGCTTTCTCATCCAAGAAGAATCTTCATCATCATAGGTGCAATTCCATGAAAACAATTCAAAACTAATGAGAACCCTATTGTTATTTCAGTATAATTTCCAACATATTCAAAATCAGTCACAAAATAAACATAACACGGGGAAATAATAAAGTAATAAGGAACCTATAATGGATAAAAAAAAAAGAGTTATAACTACAGTTTCTAAGTATTAAATAACATATTAATTACCTTCCAGAAGCAGCAATTCCATGAATCACAAGCTAGCTTTAGCCTATCCTTTCATATATACTACACCAAGAGTTTTGAGGACCATTTAAATGGCTAGTAGACTGACTATATGGCACATCAGAGCTTTACACCAGCATTTTCAAAATCATCTTTAGTTGCAGGTCTCTTTGCTACCATCCTAATTCACTTCGACCCTAATTCACTTCGACGTTAGTTGTTAACAGGATAAACTTCAAAATTACCTTAAATAACCTTCCTAATAACTTAAAACAACATTGCTAAACACAGGCTGGACTAACAACGGGACTTGCTTTTGATTGAAGTCGCATACAATCCAATTCCTGCAAAAATTTCAGCATATCAAAGAATTAGTGAGAACTGAAATCCTGAACTTGAATTCCAAGGTGCCATCTTTCATCAACCTTATAAAATCGCATGGTCTAACTAAGTATAACTGGGAAAGATAATGAATGCATGAGGAAATGTATATGTAAATGTATAAATGAATACTGACTCGTACAGCAGAGGAGGATTGGACTTCAAGTTTTTGACTGAAGACATTTGGATGAGGCAGAACTTCTGGAGAAGAGATTGGTAATGAAGAATGAAGCTGATGGTTTTGTTTTTGAAGCTTTTCCTGCTTTAATTGTTGCTCAAACAAGGCAAACTCTTCTGGCTTCTCCCACTAAGGACCAATTTTCAAAGGTATCTATTAAAAATTGTACCATAAAGATTGGGACAACTGTGCCAGGACAGATGGCTGAAGACATAAAGCTTACCGAACTTTCACAGGTGACACAGTTATAGTAGTATTTGAAACCGTCAGGGCAGGTGTGTTCACTCCAATCGCACTCCAAGGAAACTTCTACCCGAGAACATGGACGCACCAAAGGTGAGTTAGGAACACCACTAAAGGTCTGAAGACCATGTGCTGTAGGAGGCTGCATAAAAAACATAAAAGAGAATACACACACAAGTCACGAAAACAAACTGACATTAAATTACCACCTCTGTAGTAACTATCTGTACAGTCAAGTTTCAACTTTTGTTTTATGAACAATACCTCCAGAGCAGGCGTGTTTCCCACCACTCAATTTTTGACAAATAGGAGAGAGGGAAAGAGAGAAGAGAGGCTTTTTCGTTTTTATCAAAAAAAAATAATAATAAATAAATACCTGTCAAAACTTAAGTGGTGGGCTTGCCCAGTGGTAGTATTGCTACTGTTATATTTCTCCTGGAACAGAATTAGGTTGCCAATCATAGCACGAATTTTTTTATTMTAATGTAATTTAACAGCTTCCACAAGGATTCTATGATTCAGATCATTTCATACCGTATTCTCATTAACCTGTGAATTCTGTTGCTGATACGAGTCTTTCCGGGGCTGTTGTTGACAATACACCTGATTCTGCATCTTAGAAAAATCAGGCTGTGTAGGAGGCTGACAAACTTGTTGTGTTGTTCTCATTGGTTGTGATGGTATATGAGCAAAAGATGATGAAGGTTCTTGTATTGGAGGGTGTGCTTTCTGTATGGTATTAGGAGCCAAAGGGGCATTGGATGCCACTTGGGAAGCATTTTTTGCTGGTCCTAAACTTGCAGAATTTTGTTGTGGGGGATATAAATTATTGGGAAAACATCCTCCAGCAGGGGCACCAAGAGGGGGCTCGGGTCTAGAAAAGGTTAAACCAATAAGAAAACAATTTATAAACATGAATTAATAGACAAGAAGGGAACAATAAATGCACAATGTACCTAAAAGGTTGAGGATGATGACCAAAATTTGGGCTGCCTGACATGCTGTTGCTTCTGTGCAGAGAGAGATTTTAACAGTTAAGTATTGACAAAACCAATAACAAAATAAGCAAAAAAGTTTATCATGCCAACTAACTATATATCATGCAAATGAAGGTATGGTCACAATGTTTGTCCAGCACAATTATGACACATACATAAATACCTATTGCCCTGATATAAGCTAATGATTGTTAGCTCACATCACAGCAGTAGTACCGTAAAGCATGTAATTCGGGGTGGGGCTATTACCTCCACATCTCTCACTATTTTCAAATCTCTACATGAGCACTACAAGAGATATCTATCAAGAGGACCCATCACTGTCATACAGGAAAACAGGGATATCAATGGTAGCAGCATATGATCATGAATCATGATCAGGTCTCATTGATAAGAACTCATTTTGGTCCCCATATAAGAAACGAACTCTCAAGTTGAGAGAAAGAGGGAGTTGGCTCCCTTATTTCCCTGCTTCCTCCCACACACTCACACATGACATGTCACATATATGATTATTTAATTTTTACTCTCGTGGAGCTCTACAGTTAATAAATAGCCCTTGATTGTAGTAAATGAGTTAGGTTTGAGGACAGTTATTCAATGGGTGCAAGAAGCAAGACTAAGGTCCAGTGATTGGTAATGTTTATCATTATCATCGTTATGACAGATGAGGAATCAATAACAAGAAATTATACTTCTTGATACCGGTATAAGAAAATAGTAATGTATTAGGAGGCTTAACCTTTGTTCACCAACCCTGGATTTCTTAGGGTCTGCAAGACGAACAATAAGTGGCTGATCACAACCCTAGTGATGTAGAAACAATAAATTAATGTTGCACTTAGAAGAGTAATTCACACATAAAATACACACACAGAGTGAGAGTATATAGATAAATATATAGACAAGCCCTACTCTAATCGTATAATTTCCATTCAATGCTTTGATTGCTGCCATTGCCATCTCTCTACGAGCGTACTTAACAAAGGCACATCCTTCAAAAGGGAATGACCATCAAAATCAGAAGCATAAATTGAGAGGTTGCCAAATTTAAAAATAGCTTTACAATCGAGATAAAAAGTTGTAAGCCTCAACGGCTGATCCATAACACATTGATGTTAGATGTTGGAAATAATATATCTCAGTTCCAACTGATTTTCCAACACAAGATGAAACTATAGGTACATTATTCATCAGAGTAGAGCTTTTACTCAACCATGGTCTGCTCATAATTTCATCCTGCACAAGTTTCATGACAAATATAAAGAAAGAAATTATAGGCATACGGGGTTGACTGGTTCTATGCTGGAAATTAGAATCTGATAAGTACAATTAACTATTTAAGAATCTGCCAAAATAAATTTTAAGGAAGGATCATGATCTTTATTATCTATTTCAAAAGCAAATAATATTACACACCACGGCTTTGCTTCAGCTCATCACGCATGATATAAATATCCTCAACAAAACCATAAGGCGAGAATACCTGCAATGAAATGTTCACAAAAACTCCTTAATAATAAAATAAAGTGACAGACTAACAAGTAACATAAATCAAAGCATTTTTTCTTTTTTTTTTTTATTTTTCTATTTTTTTTATGATTGGAGGTCGGAGCTTTCCTCACATATACCAGGAGCACCTACGCCCGCCCAAGACCTGGACCCATAAGACATCAAGAGTTTTTGGTATTAAGTTCACCGGAAAGTTCGAACTTGACACCTCTTAGCCAGTATAACCAAGCGACTCCAAGTCCTTGCCAACTGGACTGACCCTAGGGAGCAAATCAAAGCAAATTACTATTCTAGCCTCATTTATTTTATGATTTCCTCTATCATCCATTAGCTTTACGGCACTGGAGCATATAATATATATCAATTGTTTTTTACGGCACTGGAGCATATAATATATCAATTGTTTTTTCCAGTCTCTACGAAATCCTTTTATGCCCTCAAATAATATGCACCACATCTTCAGAGGCCACACAAAACACAATAGCCAAAACTTAAAATCAAATACATAGTGAGATGGGATAATGAGGAAAGCTTCCATGTAATTGTGGGTGTCGGACAAGTTTATTCACACCTAGAGGCTAGACTAATAACGAAGGACCACTACCAAACCCAGCTACCGAACTCGCAAATTTTACGGTTATGAGACCAGGTGGAGAAGGGAATCGAGGGGAGAATGAAGAAGGATATTTTTTTTTTWAAAAAAAAGTTAAGTCATCTTACTGCTATTTCCCTAATATAGCTAAAAATTAATGGTGGGGACTCTTTCAACGACTTCTCAAAACCTCAAAGACATAATTGTTAAGTTTTAAAAGTGGGAGTCCGGGTCCTAAGTGAAAGTTAGCCCAAACCTCATAACCAAAAGTGTAATTTTCCTTTAAAAAAATAACTCAATGTTGTATAAGTGTGAAGAATATTGCTTACCTCCTCAATTTCCCTTTTTGTTGTATTTTTATTCAAGCTACCAACATACAATTTTTCAAGTACTCCTACATAAAACATAAAAATAAAATATTTGAAAAAGAGGAAAGTGATGAGATAATTAATTGAGTATAGGGGTTCACTTTATAGGAAACAATCAGAGTGATCTGAGCCGTGGTCATGCAAAGATCAAAACTTAGTTGCAAGAATGAAATAGAAAACAATGGTTAACTACTGCTTCGCAAAGTGAAATAGCCTTGCTAAGATGTAAACAATATGGTATGGATAAAGAAGAAACACGTCCAAGTGATGCAACAGGAAATCAGGAATGCTATAACCTTACCTAGGCGCTCCCTCTCACCATCAGCATATTTCACATTGATAGGAGCCATTTCCTGTAATAAAAGGAATTATAAGAAAAATCATTATTACATCAATTGAATTACCTAACTATAATCAGAGACAGGAAAAGTGCCTTATTTATTGATTTAATTTTATAGGAAACAAAGTTTCATAATAAGAGCAAAAGTTCTTTATATATTATGTCCATCTATAATAGGCTATAGGTAATAACTTACTCCAGGAAAAGTAAACTGATTGTCCAAAGCTCCGATAGCCCTGTCTGCTTCAATAGAGGTTGCATACTTCACAAAACAACTACCTGAAGAGTAAATCCTAGATCTTCTTTAATATTAATTCTCTAATCTTATAACCTCAAATGAATGACAGCATAAAGCCAAAAGCAGTAATCAGAGAATGCATTTGCATTTTAACAATAAAAGGTTATCCAGAATATACATATCGAACAAGTATTTGAAGAAAATAAGATTAGGGAATAATTTTAGAACTGACATTTCAGCCATTGAACTTTAATTAAAAAAGATAACCATGAAAGAAGCACGATAAAATCAAACTTAAAGCAACAGAGCCATAGAAAGAATAACAAAACAGGTAAGATGGTGGAACTTGTATGTAAGAATTAACAAAACAAGTGTTTCTAAAAAACCATCCAAGAAATGAAATGACTATAATCCAATAAATTAGAGGTCACTTTGACATAGGATGCTTCAGTTTGGAGTCAACTGAGTACTTGCCACGATATATTATGTTCAAAGTGCCTTTCCCCATCCTATAGCCACTATCACCGGACTAAATTTTCACTCCTAAACACTTTCTTCTATAAAATAGTAAATAAACCACACAATGCAGATTTAACCTAGTTAGTAGTACTTCAGAAGTATAAAGATCAAAAGTATGCATAATGATGTGCTGGCCAACCCCTTACATGGCAGAACAATACGAAGGAACTTAAAAGGAACAGACTACCTTGCTGTTGGCCAGTTATCTTATCCCTTAATATTACAATTTCGACAATATCTCCATGTACTTCAAACAGGGGACGGATCTGAAACCACGGATTTAATAGTTATTAGTTATATTAAATCACTGACTTTAAGAAGTGCAGATGGCTTTAACATGATGGAGAAGCAAAATTAATAAGTAACGTGAATTAGCAACTTTTGAAGTTTTTCTGAGTAAGAAGCAAAATACTAAGAACAAAAACAAAAGATAACAAGCACTTTAAATAGTTACAAACATCTTGAGGAATAAATAAACATCTCAGAGACCCCAAAAGTAAGAAAATGAGGATAACATACAATCCCCAAACAAATAAAATTTATAAAACCCCCTAAATAATTGAAAATATGGAACCGTGATCCATGGAAAGATATAAAAACCTAGATCTTCCTTTCCAAATAACTCTTTCGCCTACAAAGTTACATGAATTAGAAAATAGTGGAAATTAAAACTTACAGCTTCTTCGGTTCCTGTCCGGGGAACTTGTGCAACATACAATTTGACAGCCTCGGCATGATCTGGAAAAAAATAGCCATCTCAATGACCTTTATTATGGAGTAATAGATCAATTACTCAAAAGAAGAGCAATATTGGATAGTTTTTAAAAGTTTTCCCTGCGCCCCATGTTGGAGAGTATTATAATGTTCCCAAAGATCATTACTTGATTGCAAAAATTCTAGTAATACTCGGAAGAAAAGTTCAAGAATACTGTTTCTTAACGCATTCATACAGAACCAAGGGGCAATCAGGAACTAATAGATTCGGGTAAAAGAAAAGAATAAGTCACGTTTTTTTTTGCAATTGGGAGTCGTAATATATTAATGAGGCAGCAGGTAAGAGCATTTGGAGAGAAATCCGTAAGTACAGTTCACAATCCAGCAGGGAACTATAAGCTCGGCTAGAATAAATATGTAGCTCAATTAGGTTTACAAGAGCAAGATATATTCGACGTTCTATATTAGCATCAGTTTAGCTATTTCCTGCACTTTACCTGAGGGAACTGTTCTGTTGGAATAGTTTCTCGGCCTTTTGCGCCCCAAATTAGCATTTTGATTGCCACAATTCGGCCTTAAACCGCCGTTTCCGAACCCCTCATTCGCCTCCCCGTTGAAGTGTGGCTGGTGACGATACTCCGGCTGATGATTGTGGAACTCCGGCTGGTTCCAGTTATTCTGCTGAGGCTGGTGATGGTGCGGCTGCGGCGGCGGGTGCTGGTGCTGGTGCTGGTTCTGGTATGGCGGCGGGTGCTGGTGCGGCGGCGGCGGCGGTGGCCGGTGCGGGTACTGGGGCGGATAATTAGGTTGGCAAAAGGGGGGGCCGGGATGGTGATTGGGGAATTGAACATAGGGATCAAATTGGTGGTTGAAATTGGGCCGGTGGTCATCGGAGGGCCACGGTGCAGAGGAAGAAGGGCGGTGCCTCTCCAGTTTCGCAGAAATTGGAATCACAGAAGGAAAATTTACTCGGCCGGCGTTGGAGCAGGCGATTGAGGACGAACAACGAGAACGGAGAAGCGGGGGAAAGAGAGATGACCACGGAAACTTCGGTACGGGTTTCCGCACATGATGATCTGAATTTACCCCTATCCGTCTTTTTGTCACCGGTGTAATAATTGATAAAGCTACCCATATTAAATATTGTAAATATCACGTTTTTTCTTTTTCTTTTAAATTTCCTACTTTATATCTATTTATTTAATTTAATTTCTTGTTTGATAATAATTTTTTTAATCATATTTATTTTCTCACCATTTCTTTAATACGTTTTCATCTTGAAAAATATGATAATAAGTACACAATAGAAACTACCTTTTTTCGTTTTTAAAATTCGACTGAAAACGTTTTTAAAATAAGTTGATAATAAGACAAATAAATATATTGGTGGATATAGTGGTTATAAGCTTAATTTTCAAAAAATTATATAAAACAAAAAATAAAATAGTTATCGACCAAAGACTTTTAAATGATGTAAGCTTATGTCTATTTTTATTAGCTACGAAATTTAAACAGGTCATGAGTTGGCTAGTTGATTATAAGTCAACTCATCTAAAGTGATGTAGAAATGTTATAAATAGTGATGGAGAGTATGTTGACCTTACAGACAACAAGAGAGTTAGAACACTAAGTGTGATTCGTTTGAGTATGATATTGGGCAAAGTTTTATCACTATAAGATAGCTTACCTTCGCTACTCTTTTGCCCCCTTTTCATAGAGATAGGTCAAATGAGTTGTTACAAGACACTATGTCTAAGGCCCTTAGCCTAGTGCAAACCCGTAAAATTTGGCTTGGACTTATCCGACGAATTTTATTGTCTTACTAAATTTATTATTTACTAAATAAATATCTATTATTTAATGATGAAATAAATAAATAAGTTAATCAAATAATTCGAATTCAACTTAATTTGTATTTGAAAAAAAAATAGTATTTTAGTAATGGCTCATATATCTCTCTATCTTTTATCTCGCACCATATTTCCATGGATGACATTATAATCACATAGAGAATCGAGAGAGAAAAACATGCAAAAATAAATAGTAAAAGTTTCGAGAAATTATACACATCATGGGATTTAGGTTGTTAATTGTAGAAATCATTATTTCTACTTCATTTTTCCCATAATCACAAGTACCGCTAGCATACTTGTATCAATTTAAAAACCACATTATTATTTATTTAGGAACAATTTTACCTGTCACAACTCACAACCTACAATAATGAAAAAGTCTATCACAATTTTTTCTTTTCAATTTTGTAATATCAATTACATTAATGTGATATTAAAATCAAATTTTAATTTTAAACACTATAATATCTTGTATCTTACTTAATCTTATTTTTCAATTATCTCTTCTATTCTTTTTCCCCATTTGTTTTCCTTCTTCGTAACTCGTCTCCTCTAATTTGTTATTTTTGGCCAATCGAAACACAGTAAAACAAATACTCTCAACCAAAAAATCAGATGAATTTCCATCCGATATAGTGTTGAACTAAAAAATATAATCACTTTTATTCGAAATTTCATCATTGTATATTTAATTGGTTAATCTATAAAAATACACACACAACTCAAATAAAAAATTATTCAATATATAATAGTGCAATGCGTGATGAAATTTATTTTTAATTTATTTATCATGTATATGTGAAGTATAGAGTTATTAGTTATTAATTTTGTATGACCAAACACTTCTACGCTCCAACCTACCTAATTCAAAGTAATTAATTGTTTAATATGAATTTAGGTATCCAATAAATCATGGATCAATGAGGAGATGAGAATAGAGAGAAAATGATACAGAAATTAACTTTGTTAATAATTGTGAGCTTTGTGATATGACTTAAAAATTAAAAAATAAAATAAAGAAATAAAAAGTCAAATTTACATGGTCAAATAAAAGTCAATAAAACAACAATATATTTGAATATGGATTGATTATACTTACTAACAAAGCTTAACTAGAATAAACCTTTTATACCTGATTTTTTTCACTAAGTGACAAATTCAACGTATCAATGCAACCAACATCAATTGACTTGACATAAAGATTACACAAAAACAAGTTTGATAAGTTGAAAACTTAAAAAATACTATACAATAAAGTGTCATTGTAGGTTAAAAGACACATATTTATCACTAAATTAAGGCAATTTCAATAAAATGCTACAAATTAAAAGGATGACTTTTATTCATAATCATTTAGTTACAATCTCTTTTTTGTCATGGACATCAATTGTCATCTTTCTAATTCTTTATGGATGATATCTACGTCGACTCATTTTAAATCTTTTTTTTTAAACAACGAAACATTGCATTAAATAAAAATAATATCACTAAGGGTTATATATGAATAGTGGTGACACATCACCGTCATAATCCATCAAGGAAAACAATTGTCCCAAAGGACGTAAAAACGATCAGAAATGACACACTTGTCCAATAAAACAGCTTGTATATTCAAAGAATTAGGAATAAAAATAAATTTTAGCTTATTGAGCACTTTCTCAAAAGTCGTCGGGGGAGAATCCTCAATTAATTAAGGTATATTGTCAATTAATGCACCACTATTCACAATTGGAAGATAAATAATTACATCAAAAGTTGTCTTATTCTCCACCGTGACAGGTAAGGAAGGATTAGGCAAATTCCCTAAATCATGCTGGTCATAAATCTTAATACAATTAAGACCGATAGCCTCCCATATTCCGAAATGGTGTTTGCACCGATTGCCGCTGCACCTTCGTCATTGCCCACTTGCTGCTTCGTCTTCCTTGCCCTTGAACCATGGAAGTTCTCTTTAACTAAGATGAACCAGAGATGAAGGGTCATCCCAAGAGATTGCAGGCGAGTGCCCTCTCCAATTCTGTGCATGATAACTCTTCAAAGTACCCAAATGACTAAGCCAATGACCATACATAACAATGTTGGTTTTGATTTTGTTAGCCACAACAACATGGTCAACATCCAACGGGGAGATTCCCAACACCCGACCATCGTCTACTGTCACATAAACTAGAGAAGAAGAGAGATCATCCATGAAAATTGCCTCCACAACAGTAAAAGAGGTCTCTATTATATTTAGATCCATACTATTTACTTCTAGAAAAAACCATGGAAGAATTGGAAAAAAGCAGAGAGAAAAAACCCTATGAAAAAGCTCAGTCAGAAAATTGAGAGAAAACATACACCTTTCACAAGGAGGAGAAATAGATGAGGGGAGTACGCCTCTAGCCATCCCCTCTCCCTTCTTTTTAGAGAGGATTGGGCGGGTGAGAGGGGACTTGGGAGGAGGAGGAAGAAAGATTTATATATGCTAAAATCTTAGTGACTGTAATTGATATTTCATCATTTTAAATCTTATAGTCAGTTGTAGTAGGACAGATAAGTATTATAATATAAAATTACGATCTAGTGTAGTCATTATGAGATTTTATGGGGATCGTGTGGTGTGATTACAATAATATAGTACATTACGAGTTATGTTACCACACATACATATCATTTTGTCACTCACTACTCCAAAACATAAAGTTTTCAATCCAACTTTAGTTTACTAGGATAACTCATCTATGTCTTCCCTAATATAACTATAATCTCGATTAAAATTCGAGGGGAGAGAGAAAGTAGGAAAGAGAGTAAAAATATATTTAATTTTTTTTTTAAAGTTTGAAGATTTAATTCGAGAAAGTTTGGAGAATCTAATTTTTACAATTAATACTGTAACTGTAACAACTATCATTATGAGAGTCCATACAATTTAAAAAAAAAAAACTCACTAAAGAAGTCACATTTATTAGCTTCTAGAAACTTCTCCTTCTATGCTAACGAGGACAAATACTCATTTCTCACCATTCTTGTGGAGAGGAGTCAAATGTCAATAGCCCAAATCAGAGGGGCATACAAGGAAATTTGCCAATATTCATCAAGCCCAATACTCTTCGGTTCAAACCCTATCGGAGAAGAGAGTAGCTGGTTTCCTTCCGCGGCAGTTCTAACCATAACCACAGCGCACCTCCCTCTTCGGCGGCAGCCGCCTCCGCCAGCTTCTTCACTCCGGCCACAAGGTATTCATCAGCTTCTTCACTCCGCATCGTCAGCTTCTACATTCCGGTCTCGATTACTTCCTTTTCGCTTTTCTCATCTCCTTCGTTTTTCTTTCCTTCTTCTGATTCCTGCTCCTCCTTCACGTTTTCCCTGAATTTGTTTTCGCTTTCAGCAACAATCTCTCGCTAATTGGCTCTTCTTTTTCTCTTCACCTCCACTCTCCCTTCATTGTCCTGGCGTTTTCTTTTCGATTATTGTTAGTATCTCTATCTCTCTCGAACAAACCCTTTTCTTCGCCCTATCGTTGTTCTTTGTATGTTTTCATTTTTACGTCAATCCTTTTCAGTTCACAATTCACAGTAGCTGACTTATTGGATGCTTCGACATTGCATTTAAAAAACAAATTATTTACAAATTTTTGCTGTATGTGGTTTTGTTTGCTTATTTAAGTGCGCAACCCCTTTATTTCGGCGGCTAAAAGGAGCTGTGGCGTTGGTGTGTGGGTTGTGTTTAAAACATTGCGCATTGAATTGTTCTTGGGAGTTAACTGGGTACCTTATATCCAAACCTGAATGTTTGAATTAGGACAGGGGTGATTGCATAATGGGAGACCCAGTGAGTTTTTCTTTTCCTGGTTCTGTTCATCATCTCAAAAAGAAGGTCCTGTGAGCTTTTACGTGCATATAAAACTACTTACGAGTGCTATGAATGGCACTTCCTCGAATATGGGATGTAATTAACATACACCAAACGTTTCTAAGATCTCGCAAAGTATAGTACAGTTTCTTTTTTCCCCATCTACTAGGTGTTAATATTTTTTCCAATTGAGGAATTTTTTGGCCTGCAATGGACCTTTTTCTCTATCTGGGATACGCTTAACTAGCCTGCTGCCAATTTTCTGGACATTGATTAGTGGAGGCTTCTGGTTACAAATGCAGGAGCTCAACTGAATTTGCACCTTTTGTGATGGCGAATTCACCAGATGTGGATGCAGATGACGACTTCAGTGAACTCTACAAGGAGTATACTGGTCCCCCTAGATCGACCTCTGTCACTGCACAAGAGAAGACAAAAACAACTAAAAGGTCTCATGCAGGTTCTGATGAGGAGGATGAACCTCGTGATCCCAATGCTGTGCCAACTGATTTTACCAGCCGAGAAGCCAAGGTTTGGGAGGCCAAGTCAAAAGCTACAGAGAGGAATTGGAAAAAGAGAAAAGAGGAAGAAATGATCTGCAAAATATGTGGAGAGTCGGGCCATTTTACTCAGGTATTATTACTTCTATAAATGCTTTATTAGTTTCATTAAGTTATTGCACATCGATTTTTCACGACTAGAGAGATGTGAGTTATGTTGTATAATCCACTTGTGATAAGTAGTCTTTGTACTCATTTGGAACATGGGGATAAATCTTTTTGAGGGGGAGGTTATGTTAGCACCAGACTACGGCCTTTTAGCATCCTATGTGACATTTGAAATTCCCTCCAGCATGTTTAAACATTGTTAAGCTCATGTTAGTACCATTTTTTTTTTCTTTTTTTAGTAAGAAACCAAATTTAAGGGCGTATAAAAAAACAAGCCCAAGAAAAGGGGACTGACCTATAAGAAGGGGTTGCAATCCAAAAGGATTACACCTAGCTGATAATTACAAATAACCTTCGAGACCGACACGCACAGAGAGGAATTAATTCTAACAATCTCCCAAACTTTCTCCCAAGATCTCTCAACCTCAAAAAAATTCTGCTATTCCTATCAAGCCAAACACCCAAAAAATAGCCAAATTATGCTAATGTCAGTATTTTTTTGATTTTGTTCTTTCATCTATAGTCTTCTTTCAGGTATAACTGTAATTGTTTTGTGTAGAACTTTTTGCTACGTGTTAGGGTTCAGACTTGAATAGAAAAGTTGTTATTCAATTGCTTGCTAGTTGCTATATAATCCTTAGGCAATTGAGAGACTTGAATCTCTCCTTAGTTATCCACTACTATCTATATTTGTTCTCCTGCCGGCTCTCTTTCGTTCCTTCCTAACTAAATGAACTTAACATATAAACTCTCTTGTATGTAATTATAGAACTGTCCTGTTATCCACCAACCAACATCACTTGGTAATGCTTGCTGCCCCTACCTAGACTAAGTGAAATGTATGGGCGATTCAGATGATGAATCAATAGTCACTGCCCAGACCTTCACCTTATCTTGAGTCTCATGCAAGAGATTGCTGATTCACAACTATGAAGGGTCAAGCTCAAGTAGCCTTATGCTGTTTAAGCCGCACCCCTAAATTAGCACTTTTGTCCCACTTGGAAGTCCCATCCTATTGAGGCTGTATGTCCAACATTGCAAAAAGCTCAACTTAAAATTCCAAATTGGGAGTCAATATTCGAGGCCATGCAATAAAAAGGTTTAATTTGTATTCACATCAATGATGCTACTTGGAAAGAAATTTTAGAACTTATTTACAAAATCTTTGTAGAGGTTTCAAACATTTTTTTTAGAGAGTATCTAAGGTGCAGAAAAATTATCTTCATCGAAGATTTCTTATTTCCAAAAGGGAATTTTTAAAGCATCACTAGCTCTTGTGACTCTTAAATTCTTTTGTATTATTTTTGGTAATGATTAGGTTGTGTTTCCATGACGATTTACATGCAATTTTTGAAGTATTGAGAAGAGTCATAAATGAATTGTACTGTTAATCCTTTTCATGTTGATAAAGTCTTATTTAGATGTGTTGTTGGAGAGGAAGTAAATTTATTTTGAAAATATGTGGTTGGGCTTTTGTGGGAGGTTTTTGTGTTAAATTTGAAATATGGAAGGACCAAATTCATGGGAGATCGAGAAGGGGGTGAGAGGAGAGAGATTACAAGTATTATGGACTAGGGAGATAGCAAGTGAGAGAGAGGCTACATACAATAAAACCTCCTCAAGCATTGCCTATAAATTCAAAGGTTAAATCTCATTCTCCCTCTCACATGCATGCATGCACATATACATATTGATACATGCGTGTGGGTCCATGCATGCGAGGGAGAGGCAATAGTAGTATTTACTGATTTGTTTTGTAGAAAGATAGTTTTCTTACGATAAGTAGACCTATGATGCTCGCTTATTTGAATTAGAATCTGATAGAACCTCGATTCTATTATTTATGAACAGAGAGGACTTACAAATCAAGGGAGTATTCGAATCTGATAGAACCTCACCCAATATCATCAGCTATTGCCCTCCTTTCCCTCTCTTTCTAGAATAAACCTTTCTAATGGGAGGCCATCAGAATCATAACCCTTTCTTCACATGAACAATTCTAGTGGATTGTCTATTTATGCTTTGAAATTTTTGTTTATGTGTAGGGATGCCCCTCTACTTTGGGATCAAATCGTAAATCTCAAGATTTTTTTGAAAGGATACCAGCCAGGGATAAACACGTGAGAGCAGTTTTCACTGATAAAGTAGTACAGAAAATTGAAAAGGATATTGGTTGTAAGATCAAGATCGATGAGAAATTCATAATTGTTAGTGGCAAGGACAGGTTAATTTTGTTAAAGGGAGTGGATGCTGTGCACAAGGTGATTAAGGAGGAAGGTGATCAAAAGGGTTCTTCTAGTTCTCACATGAGTAGATCCAGGTCACCTGAGCGAAGCCCAGTTGGCTCAAGATCACAACGTTCTGAAGTCCATAGATCACATTCTGGTCCTACAAATGCATCACAATTTCAACCTAGGTTTAGCAGACGGGAGAAGGTTGTTGAAAACCGTGTTCGTGATGATCTGCAGAAATATCCAAGGGGTTCGCTACAAGGTAGGAAAAGCATAGGATATGTTTACGGCATCAATAGAAAGCTGGTAATTCTATGTTGTAGCTTGTAGCTATCTTCGATTTCTCAATTTTTTGTATGAGTTATTCTTTATACCTTCTTAATAATGTTATTTGTTGCTTATTATTTGTTTGCAGCACGAGGTAAGTTCTTCTGTTCAAGCTTATATATGCGACTCTGAAGTAATTTTCAGGGATAGGGTCTGAATTGGTCAGATTGTCTTCAAAACACTAAAATTTTATGAAAGGACATCCGGGTTGTTTTCCTCCTATGGTTTCTCTATATGATTTCACGATATGATCATGTTTAATTTAACCACAACATATGCTACCATAATCTAATTTTGACATTACTCCTCATCTATCATGAAGCTTACGGCAACGATAGAGCTAGAGGTCGTTCAAGCCACTCAAAGTCTCCAGCACATCCGCCGTATTCTGGCAGCTCGTTCAATTCATATGATAGTTATCAGAACAAGAGTGCATATGGTAGAACCGAAGGATGGGATAATGAGAGAAGAGGATCTGATTTGCAATCTAGTCGTCAATTTGAGTACCCAGCTTTTCCCCAGTCTCTTGAAGAATTGGAGATGGAGTATAAAAGGGAAGCAACTGAACTTGGAAAGATTCGTGATAAAGAAGAAGATGAAGAAAACTATAAACACCGTGAGGTATGGATCTCCTATCATTGCAATCGTACATCAAATGGCACCTGGTGTACTTTTCCATTTTGCTTTGTTGAGATTTTTTAACCATTTGGATATCATTTTGGATGTCTTTACACGACTGAAATTCGTACACTTCATTATTTTAATTTCAAGTTTGTACTTTTTACTTATGGGTCTTCTTAAAAGACTATAAGGGAGATGAGAGAGAACTACATGAAGAAATTGGCTCATTTGAGGGGTACGCATGCAAAACAGTGGGATGAATTTCTCCAACTTGATGCCCAAAGGCGTCAGCAACAAGTGCACCAGCAAATGGCCGCTTCAGGTTTTGCTGGTTATAAGCAGCATAACTATTCTGAATATGATGGTGGCTCAGTCAATTCTCATTACGATGGGGCTAATCTAGCCACCCTCGACTCAAGGAGCAAGTACCCAAACCATATGGAGAATTACCCTTCAAGGCCTCATGGTAATTTCGGGGAGTTTCAACGACAGAGGCGTGACGATTATGGGAATGCTTACAAACGATACTAATTTGTTAACCAGGAAGTGAGTTGGTAAGTGGTCTAACTCTTCCTTCAGCCAAGTTAAAAGGATTTTAGTTCTCTTTATCTTTTTGGTTGTCCGGATAACTGGAAATACATGATCTTGCCCAATTTCATTTTACCCCCATAGAAGGCGTGGACTTGAGACCATGTCCATTAGCAGGTTATTTTGGCGTCTTCCATGTGCAATTTTAATTTACAACCGAAAAGAAGATCTAGTTAGCTTTTAAGATATGGCGTTTAGTTGGTGGCTAGGATTTTTTTCTTTTTCCGCTTAGCCAGCATTAGCTTTAATTTCATTCCAAAATTTTCAGGATTCAGATCCATCTTGGGTAGGCATAATGCATGGAGAAGCCTCTAATCAAAGGTAAGTACTTATCTTACGGTCGACCGAGTAGATAAAAGATAAGAATGGTATGCATTCGTTGTAGCCTACTTCAAGTTGTTTTTCTCGTTATCTTTGATAGTTCAGCTGGTTCGGAACTTGTTGTAAAGAGCGGCACGGGATGTCATCTTGAATTTATTAGTAGATGAAGTTCTCATGAACGGTTGAGATTTTGAATTAGTTATGAATTGGTACCTTGGTATACTTTTCTTCCTGTTTTAACCTCACTTATTTTTGGGTTGCACCGGCACGACTGAATTCAGCAGCATGGCTATTATGTTTATAGACCAGTTATTACGACAATTCGTGGACGTGAAGCTATGGATGGTTTACGGGTTATTTATGTTTATAAATTGGTTCTTATGGCTATTCACAGGCATGGAAGCTGCCGATAATTTACTGGTTATTATGTTTATATACTTATCTGAAACTGAAGTTTCTTGTCCAGAATCCCACCATGAACATAATCAGGAAACAATAGGTATGTCTTGTTCCCAAGCTCTTGTTGTGATTCATGTCATTAGCTGGAAAAAGAGAGAGATTTCTTGGTTTTCAAATCTAAAAATATTATCAACTTTATTCCATCAAAACTGGTGAATTTAGAAAATGCTTCTTGAAAATTAGTCTTATGTAATGTAAGTTGCCCGCAGGAATTATTGTCAAATTTACAGTTTAAATTGCCAAAAACCAAATGACGAAATTTACTCCATTGTTGGAAAGGAACTTCCAACTCTTTTGCTCATTAAAATGTTGGGATCTGAGGCCTTTTATTTTGCCTCCATTAACCTTCTTCTGAAGTTGTAAATTATTCATAATGTTCCATCAAATTAAATTATTCCTCAATGGTGCCCTTGTAAAATCCTGGGAGAGACATGGCATTGCGGAATGATTCTATAGTCTCAGATTTTGCGAGCTTGAAAATTTGCATTAATTTCAATAAGTGCCATTTATCTCCAACGTGAATTAGAATTTCCCAACTCGTGTACTCAAATAAATAAATAAGTTTCAGTCAATATACAGAAGTTTTGAACATAAGATTTCTACTTTGATATCAAATTAAATCACCAATTAATTCCAAAGTGAATTTTAAACTAATAAATTATAATAAATTTAATTTTTTAAATCTAGTTGAGTCATCTACCAACTATATTAAATTTTTTATTTTGGTATAAGCGGAGTCGATTTTGATCCATTTCATAAACTTAAAAGATCAAATTGCAAGAATTCAGAATTTGAAAAGAAAATACTTCTGAAACTTTAGAGATTAATAAGGTAATTATTTCTTTTTAAATACACGCACGTACATTTTAGTAATATTACGAAATTATTTAAATTACTTTTTTTCTTCTTCCCATCATAATCAAAGTCAAGGGCCCATTCCTAAAAGCAATGCCATTGTTTTTGTTCAGCTTTTGATTGCAAAAAAGTGTTAACATAATGATAAAAGATAAATAAGAATTCGGTGTCGCGGCAAAAAAAAAAAAAAAAAAAACGAAAAGAAGTCCTCTTTGTTAATTTCAAAATGCTCATCACGTTGAAAATTACGAGAATATAAAAAATCCTTCGACATCCCCTCATATCAATGTAATATAAAAATGTTTTATTTTATATATAAATTTTTTAAATTTAGACTCAAAGGGTGGAATTTTTAATCCTCCACGTTTAGACCAACCTCCTATGTATCGTACCATTTTTTTTATCTCGAGAGGGGGTCTTCCTTATGGAAAAATCCATAGTAGGATTCAACAGTGTGGTGGTAAGCAGCAAGATTTTCTCTTGTTGACCGACTATAACAAGCTCGCGTAAAAGAAGGACATGTTTTTATTTTTATTTTGTTTAGTACAACGAGTGAGGGGGAGAGATCCAAACTCATAATCCTAAAGTATTCTTTTTTTTTTTTTGAGTTCAATGAAGAGTAAGGAGTTTAGTTTTCAATTTTATAGGGAGTGTCTTATATGTGAGTTTTTTTAAACAAACGAGAGAAACTTTTGAGTTAAAATACTGTTTTGGTCATTTTAGCATGTAATTTTAGTTTTTTTTGGTCTATTTTAAATTTTTAATCATTATACTTTTAAACATTCATTTTAACTCGTATATTTTTAAAATCTTATCATTTTGGTTCATTTAATTTTCTTTATTATCTCTTGTTTTCTTTCATAATTTTAGCATGATACTTCATCCAATAAATTTATTTATCTAATAAAAAATTTGTATTTAAAGGTGTCTTATTGTATATAAAATTTGAGTCAAAACTTTACAAATATGGATCAAAATGTTTACTTTTAAAAGTACATGGGCGTTTTGAAAGTCCGCGTAATAAAGTCGAACAAAAGTTGAAAAAGTACCTGGGTTAAAATGAATACTTTAAGAGTACATGGAAAAAAAAAGAAGTAAAGTCAAATTACAAGTTTAGTGATCGAACTTTCAAATTTATATCTAATAAGTTTCTAAACTTTCAATTATGAGTTTGTTATATCTCTAAAATTTTAATTTTGTATCAATAAGTAGTCGATCTATTGAATATATCTATTAAATACAAAATCGAAGAGCTAGAATTTTATTAGATAAAAACTCTAATTTTATATCAAATAAATCTGTTAGATTAAAAAATGTCAGAACTATTAAATACAAAATTAAAAATTTAAAGATTAAATACAAGAATTATTAAAAACAAACTTGATTCTCGAAAAGAAAAAAAAACCTTGAAATTTAACCTTTTTTTTTAAACGGATTGTGATTTATTTATTTATTTTTAATTAAAGAAAGTATGAGAATTGGCTAAAAAAAGGCAGTTATAAAAAATACATGACGCTTTTTATGCGCCGCACCTCACAATTTCAGATCTGAAATTCAATTCTCTTCCATTTCGGGTTTCCCCCAAATTTCTTCTCTCATCTCGTTTCTTCGAGGGTTTATATTCAGTTTCTTTATTCCCCAGATCTCTTTCTGGGTTCTGTTGTTAGATCCCTCCATGGATTTTAGCTGTAAAATGGTATAAATGGCTTCTACTTGTTGGTCTACGATCACCCGGTGAGCCATTCTTTATTTCTCCCTTCCCCGCCCTTTTTCCTGATTCTGCAAAATGTTGGGGTAGGGCAGAGAGATTTTCCATGTTTATGTTTCTTGAATTTGGTGTTTTCATTCCGTGCGCTGTTGTTTGGTTTGATTCTGTTAATAGAAGTTAATAAAATAGAGAAATGAGCGTGCATTGATAGACAGAAATTAGGGAAGATAGAAATTTAGTGAAATGGAGCAATACTGCATTGTGCCTTCTTAGTTTCTGCGCTAATAATTTAGCCCTAATCTTATGCTTCTATTTAGTTCCTAGTATTTGTGCCTATTAAATAAATTTTGGTTATTTTGGCGTGTTGAGGCAAATAGCTAGATAGATAATGAGCGAGCCTGAACGACATTAAAGGACTAAATAGAAATATAATTCAAAATTTAAGAATACAATCAACAGCTTTCAAAGTTTAATGGCTGAATAGATATAATGCTCAATTATTTAACCTATATAAAAATCTGTGATATAAAAGGAGGGAAAAGAAGTGAGATTGCTCTCTTTTCTTGGTAACTGAGTTTATCACTAATTATTTTGGATTTACTTTTTCTATTAAAGGTTCACAAGAGGGTTAAGAAGATGAGAAGAAAGGAAGGCCCCTTCGATTCTGGATCCTGGTAGGATGAGTGCCCTGCCGAAATGGAAAGTGAAACCTCATTAGATGGGTGGTTTAAATCGTATGGCTACAAAAGAGAGAGAGTTGGTGATAGACCTTGAAGGTGGTGGTAGTAGTAGTGAAGAGGATTCGAACAATGAACCTGAATCAATATCAAAAGTACATTCTAGAAAAACCTTTGGCAGGCTTCGGAGTGGGTTTCTGTGCCCCGATGGATCTATAAGTCGAGGTTCTAGCTTTGCTTCCAGTAGTAATGCCACCAGGCTCAGTAAGCTTAGTGTTGATGAGAATGTGGAGTTGTTGATGGACAAGAGTTCAGAGGGAGAGAAGAGAAGAGAACTTGGGGCTCTTGTCGAGAAGAAGAAGAACCTGAAAGAGAAGATTAAAAAGAATGGAAAGATTCACAAGCCACCACGACCTCCGACGGGTCCATCGCTTGATGCTGCTGACAGGATTTTGGTTAGGGAGATCACAGAGTTGGCATCGAAAAAGCGTGCCACTGTTGAGCGAATAAAAGCTTTGAAAAAGATGAAAGCAGAGAAAACATCTTCATTCAACAGCAGCATACCTGCCTTATTTATCACATTGCTTTTCTTTGTAATTATCATCTTTCAAGGTATGGGGTAGTTAGAATTGTATATTTTTTTGGCCATCTTTTTGTTTCTTCAAGGAGAAGAAACAATCCATTGATAGTAAAATCCTTGTACATAAACAACCTAGGAGGAGATATCCTTCCACTTTCAAATATACTATAACTGCAAAGAAGCTCTCCAGTTGACATGGATAGAAAAGGAGAACAATAATTAAGCATCTAATGTCTGTCTGTCCATGTTGTATAAATCTTCTTTCAGGAATGAGTGCTAAAGGTAGTGCTATGGTGTCGGAGTCTCCTGTGCCTACTGTTGGTGGGAGCGCAAGCTTGATATCTAGTGTTCGGCATTCATCTCAATCTCCTCCCCAAAAAGTTAACAGACCTCAATCCCGCTTTCTCAAGTTGGTGTAGCACTGTAGCTCAATCTTTCCATGGTTTATTCCAGCAAACATTCTAGTTTTCTGTGTCATTAAACCTCAACCAATTTTTGTGATGCAGTTTTGCAGAAAAGACAACTTCTGATCGTTCTGCCGTAGGAGAAGCGAGATTGGTGGAAGATTTGAAGAACCACTGAAGTTCAGTGTTAAATAATCTGGTAAAACAACTGAAACTTTTCATACCTTATATAACTTGATTGTGAAGGCTTCAGACTGCTTTGGTGTCTGTATATATGCAAAGGCCTCAAAGCTTCCTATGATCTTTTGGTAGGCTTTTCTTGTACAGAGAGAGTTCACATTTTATTGAACCATATTATTTTTTTGTTCTGTTAAAGTCCAATTTGAAATTGGTATGCTCTCACCAGAAACCCAGAACGTTGAACTTACTCACATGGACTTCAAAAGAATTGATGGTGTATACAAGATTTATATAAATATATTGACATTTGGAGACACAATTTCAACTTCTTTCTTCAGTGAGACTAATACATATTTCATCTGATGACTTGTCTGTTCAAAGTACTGATTCCTATCAAAACTTAACCCAAACAAATAAAGTTCCGACCAATCTTACTTTTTGGGGCAACTTTTTGAAATGTAAGGCTGAAAAATGGAAGAGCCTATGCATTTGAAAAAATATGAACAAAATGGAGGGCAATGTTTTTTGAGTTGTAGAGTTTGTGAAAGTTTGGAGTCATGGATTGAACTTTTTTTTTTCTTTTGAGGTTCATAGATTGAATTTTGAGTAATTTCTTTGTGTTTTTCGATACTAAATGTTGTAGGGTCAGGTGGTTTTGTCTCGTGAGATTAGTCGAGGTGTGGGTAAGTTGGTTCGAACACTTCTCATTTATATATTGAGATATCCTAGACCTTTCTATTATTTTTCTTTGGAAATGATTTAACCAAGTACCCACATAAGTAACTAAGCTGAGGAGAAGTATTACTTTCTTCACTTATTTAAGTTTGGGTTTGAATGTGATAAAACTAAAACTTTAAAATTGAACTCAAATCATTCAACAAGTGTAGGTTTAAGAAGAACGAAAAATGTTCCTTTAAATTAATACAATTCTTGCTAACATGTAATGAGAAAAAAAAGAGAGAAGATTAAACCAAAACAATTCTATGAAATAACACACTATACTTGGAACATATTTCCCAAGAAATGAATATTTTGAAACTTATATTGCAACCCTTTCATACAATCAAGTCCAATGAAGCATCACAATTTCTATACTTTCATCGAACAGTGTGACTCTATATAATCACTCTCAAAAAGGAGAAAAAAAAAGGAAAATAAAAGAAAAAAAGACTCCATAGAATCTTTTATTTGCAATAAGAGAAAGAGAAGTTCATCAACTTCATCAACTTTTGGCCTCCAATTTTTTGTACACTGCATTGATTTCCACCTACAACAAAATGAAATCTTTTAAAATCTCAGTTTCGGAGAATTCAATCAGTGGAAAAACAGAGTTCCCAACCAACCTCATAGTACTTAAGCAACTTGTTTCTCTTCTTCTTCAAAGTTGCTGTCACCAGATCGTCTTCTACGTCGAATGGGTGCGATTCCAACACAACTCCTTTGATGTATTCGAAACGTTTCAACTGGTGCAAGCCATGGGGATCGAGTTCGAATGATCAGTACTTTTTTTATGAATCAAAACACAAACATGATCAAGTGAAAGAGAGAGATATCTGTGGTTTTGTAGTACTTATTCGAGGGTCGGATTGGATTACATTTTTCCGTGTTTTTGGCAGATATTTACCTTGTTCCTTTCTGCTGTGGAAGTGAGCTCAGAGAGAACATAATGCCTGACCTGATCAAGAGAACAAAGCTCAGAGAAAGAACACAAAAAACCATTTGACTTTGCCCATCTCTTGGTGTTTTCCTCATGTAGCACCACCACTGCAACCAGCATTGATTTGAAGCTGTTCCCATAGATCCAAATCTTTGGAAAAAAAGAGAATTCAAAGGAAACTCCAATCACCAAAACTATGAAGTTGGTTTCAGAAAGAAACTCAGAGGAATACAATATGAAACTTACATCTTCGACGATAGGGGTAATGGAATAAACGTTTTCTAAGTATTCGAGTGCTATGTATTCTCCTTGGGACAGTTTTATGAGGTTTTTCTTCCTGTCAATGATCTTCAAAACCCCATTAGGAAGCATTTCTCCTATGTCTCCTAAAGAGGTATCAAAAGAAGGGAAGAAATAAGTAAAATATGACGAATTATCATCCGAACAGAAATGAGAGATCAAGGAAGTGAAATGAACTAGAACCACCTGTGTGAAACCAGCCATCCTTTATGGACTCTTTAGTTAGTTCAGGATTTTTGTAGTATTCATTAAAAACAGTCTTTCCTCTTACACATATTTCACCACATGGAGGATCCCCGAGCGGATTGTATCCCATCTCTGGAACCTCTTCGAGGCAAAGCTCGTTGTATAGAGTAACAGCACCAACCGTACCGAGCATACACATTTCATCAGGAAACCCAATAGTTGTTGGTCCACAAGTTTCAGTCAATCCTAAAAGTACCATATCATGGAACATGGAGTATCTTAAAGGAAGGAATTTCCTAAAAGCTATCAGAAGATTTGTAGTTTGCAGGTAAGAGTTCTTTACCATATCCTTGGACAAAAAAGGCACAACATGTGACCCTCAAAAACTCTTCCACTTCTGCGCTCAAGGCTGCGCCCCCGGATATTATTAGTCGAATGCGACCACCTAATCTAGCTTTCACCTGAATGAATACAAGTTCCGAATGATAAAGTAGGTTGATACGAGAGTATGTAATCTACTAATTAGGAGAGTAGGATTCAACCTTCCTGAATGCTAAGAAATCTGCCAAAGGGGATGCATATTTCTGTTTATATCCGCTATTCAACCACGAAAGTTTGCTGCAAGTTCGGCATACGCGTCGTCTTTGAGCTTATAAGTGTCATATAGAATTGAAGTAACCACAAGATCAAAGGATAAAATATTGACTTACTATTTGTACAGCAAATCGAAAGCCTTTCTTCTTACTGGATTGAGTTCTTGTACAGCTTGTTTGATTCCTGAAATACAGGTCAGTCTTGCCATGTTAACAAGGTTATGGATTAATTAGTTAAACAGTAATGGAAATGGAATTACAGATAATGAGCAACGTTTTCGTGCCTTCGTGGATCCTTTCGAAGACTCGAGGTACACCTACTAAAACTGTCGGCTTTAACTCCATTAGATCCTCTTTTATTTCATTAAGATCCTTCATAAAAAAAGAATGAGGAATGAAAATGGAACTGTTTTGATGTCTGTTAAGCCATTCACTTATCAGAGAACATTTGTAAACCAAAGTTCTGAACAATGCAATACCCCATGGTAGTAGCCAACGGATGCACCCTTCCGAAAGAAATACTCCTCGACCGCACGGTCGAGGATATGAGCTAGAGGCAGGAAAGATAGATACACATCATCCTCTGTCATCTGTTCACGAAAATTTACATGTCAACAAAAGGAAAGCCTTGAAAGTAAAGAAAATGCTAGCTAGAAACTATCCGGGGTCGATAAAAGCGACTTGTCTACCTTGTCATCAAACTGCTCCAAGAACACATCAACTCCTCTGATAAATGTTGTGATGGTTTCATGTGTTAACACAACGCCTTTCGGAGTTCCACTGGTGCCACTTGTGTACATAATTGTGCAAATGCTGAGGGGTTGCGGAGGAACGATTTCGAATGGATTCTCTTTTCCCTGATTTAAAACAGATTTATGTGTCAATTATGACATATAAAGGAGGAAGATAAAGGAGCCATCTAGATTTAAAACGGACCGAATGAAGGAACTCGTCCCATGAGTATGGTTTTATCCCAATCTCTACTGCTGAAGTCTTCTCTTCCTTCTTCAGTGAAGTAAAGCAGACAACAACTGCATAAGGAACCGAGCTCGTTAAATTGGTTTCGATGGTTCTGCGAAAACCGTATTTATCTCATCATTCTCACCTTTCAGCCTCTTAGGATACGTGCTTTCAGGATTCAATAGCTGCAAAGAAAGCATATAATTTTAACCATATCTAGCAAGTGCCTCTTTTATTGGTCTAAATTGGGGTATGAAAGCATATTGTTAACTAGAAGGAAGTTCTTACTTCTTTCACTTTCTTATCTTGGACGAAAACGATATCGATCTCTGCGTGATCTATAATGAAATTAACAGCGCCATGTCCTGCAATTCATTTAGGGTCTTCTCTATTGGTTTAAGAATCAACAGAAAGTTCAACTTGAAGTTGTTACTTACAAAGAACTCGAGATTATTCAACATCAAAACAGAAGCAATCTAATGGATTATGAAGTAGAAACTAGTCAAACTGTGACTCTTAAACCATAAGAAAATGCATCAAATCAAAAGCATGAGAGGTGCCACAATGAGAAGAGCTCGGGATGCTTGAAGATACCATCAATGGTTATGAGTTCTAACTCCTGGGTTGAAAACTTAATAACTAAGACCCTAATGTCTCAAAGCTAGTCTTGAGGTTGGCAAAATATCGAGACGAATTAGTGTGGGTGAGCCATGAGCATAATGCAAGGAGTGAGGTCCCAATACCGACACCGACACCTTAGTTACAAAACAACCTTTATGGAAAGTGCAATAAGAAAAAAGGAGTACTTTACCAAGGGTATCATAGAGTGGCACACAAATCAAACTGTGAGCATTGCAAGCCTACACAAAACAATTAGAACATCTGTTATCTGATATCACAAACACTAAAACAGCCGCAGAAATGCTTTTAAAGCTAATAAAACATTCAGCACAAGATTGAAGAATATGTTATCTGAACCTCCATTGCAATTATCCATTGAGGACAATTTGCTCCGTAAATTCCGATTCGCGAGCCCTGTTGTGCAAAATTGTCCTATCTTTAGTTTCTCAGCTCTTACAATATGCTCCCATGTCATATCGAAAAATCACGAAAATGCAGTAGTATATATGCTTACCGGTTTGGCACCAACCGCTCGTAGTGCAGAACCAATGTTAAGAACATCACCATAAACTTCTTTGTAAGTTTTCCATACATAAGGCCCTGGCTAAACACCGAAAAAACCACAAAAAGAATCATTATAAAAACGATCAATCAATTTGAGTTCATAAACATTTCGACGATGAGAATTCACCTTCCCTTCCACAAATTTTCGCCATCCGAGCATTCGCTTTGCAGCATGCTTTTTGGCTGAAACACTGCAAACAATCCAAGGAAACAATTCCTCTGTTTCATTTTCTCAAACATGTCCAAAAAGACATTCTAACAGACATGTTTCCAGACATCAAACCATTCATTTCATATTATCATTTGAACACAAAATGAGACAAAATATGAATATAACCTGAAAAGGTCCCAAGATGTGCTCAAATCATCATATGGAGGAGGAAATTCATCTTTGGAAAGAAAGTTTCGATACACCGGTCCGATGGACGGTTTCCCGTCTTTCCCTTCCCTTCCTTCCTCAACCTTGACCGAAAAACTCTTCATTCTTAGCTGCTGGAAAACCTGTTGCATTGAACATTAATTGGACTCAAAGAAATCTCTCTATCTCAAAGCTATATAGGACTTGAGAAGTACAAAAAGTCAAAAATGACCCACCATTGACTCCCAATTTTCACTGACAATTTCAATGGGAAGAAAAAGGAAAAATATTTCTCAGCAAAATTTATTATTTGGGTAACGTTCTAATTTAACCTGGATAGAGTTATTATTCAGCTACCATCTTGCAGCCATTAAATGAGAGGCCAACCACCAAGGAAATTGGCCAATGCTTCCAATGGAAGACTGAGAAAATGAAAAAAGTCCAAACTTTTAGGGAGTTTTGAAAGAAAAACAGAAGCCAGAAGTACATTAGGGTCAATGGGTAGATCTAAAAAATTTCAGATTTTGAAGTGAAGTGAAAACAGAGTCAGTAGGGCTTCACCTGTGAACTTGAAGGAAGAAACAGACAGCAAAAAGCATAAAAAGAAGTGGTTTTTCCATGATCTACTGAAAATGGAGCTGACATACTGTACATTCTTAACTTTTTTTTTAATTTTTTTTTATGTGTACAATCTTTTAGTTTTGAAAATTTAGGGGAAAGTAGAAAGAAAACTTTAAAGTTTTTAGCTTTTTTATATAATTTTCTTAATCTAAGACCCTGTTTACTCCACTATGGTAGAAGGATCAAAATCCCTCCTCTAAAGAGAGATAGAAAACTTAAAAAATTTGAACCTTTTCTTTAATACAATTTTCTTGATCCAAGACGCACTTTAAACTCCTCTTTGCTTCCTTGCGATGCTCCTTTATGTCAAACAACTATAACTCCGTTCTCAAATTACGCAAAACAAGAGAAGATGGGGAGGGGGTTGGGAGGGTACTCCGAGTAGTAGGTACCTCGTAAAATCTCGACATAAAGTGGAGAGCGGAGAAGAGGAGAATCAGGCAATGGAAGGGTGGTGGTGGTGAAGTGAAGTGAATTGAATTGAATATAATGGAAAAAGAGAGGACAGAGATGTTAATGAGTTAGTTGAAATGGGATTCATTATGAGAGGAGGGAGGGGAGATTTCTTTCATAGCATCGTCCAAAACATTTATGTGAAAAATATTGATATTGATATTTCATTATATGATTTCCTAGGTACATTATATGTTTTAGTGTTATATATTTTTACTTTTATCCTTTTAGATGGGACTGGTTGAAGCGTAGGACAGATATCTGTTACCATTCTAAGGTCTATAATTTGATGTTCCACCCGTACAATTATTGAATTAAAAAAAATAAATTCAAAACTGTTTGTTATGGTGGCTCTTTTATGAGGTTAGTTTTATTATCATTATAATGGAGTTTTGGCTATTGACTATGATAAATTATTAAGCTTGGCTAGGGAAGCTAAATCCTATTTTGGACCTAAACTCTAAGGTTATTTTATGCTTTAGTCTATGAACTAAAAAAAAATCTTTCCGTTCATGAATTTAAGTTAGTAGATATTAGATGACAAAATAATAAGGTTTATAGGTTGAAATAGACATTTAGAAAGTTCGCAGACCAATGTTTTTTTATAGTTCAGAGACTAAAATGAGAAGAAACGATTAAAAAGATAATATTTACAGAGAATTAAGAACCGATAATATATTTGCTTATTTACGTGAGTACCCACTAATAATCACTGTAATATCGAATATTTTTTCTTGACAACTTAATTATAGTTTAAAGATTAAGATATTGACGAGTTCCTTTGGATTGAAAGTTTGAATTCTCTCCCAATTTAACGTTATCGTATAAAGATCACTCACTTTTTAAGTGGGATGTTAAATGCTTCCCAGGGGTGTCTTTCTTACAACTTTTCACATAATTTTGATAATTTTTTTAAGTAATAATTTTGATAATCTATAGATTGAAATATGACTTTAAACCAAAATTATGGATCACGAATGCCTATGAGGAGAAATTATTTGGCATGGCAAATAGTGACCGCTACATTTAATAATTTCTACGAGGGAAAGAGAGAAAGAAAGGGAGAAAAGACCAACAAAGATAGTTATGAGATAAAGATATCTACTCTAATGTTCTCGTTTCTTGTTTCTGTTTTTTTTTTTTAAAATTGGTCTCCAACACTAATATGGATTCAAGAATAATAAAATAATATTTTTATCTATAATTTAAAACAAATTGAAGACGAGAACAAGATAAAAGAGACTTGTTTAAGTTGTTTTCAAAATTTTTATATAGTTTTTAAAAATAATTTTTTAGAAAATAAAAAATAAAAAATATACATAGTTGTCAACGAAAACCAACGGGTTCTATAGTTTAAATCTTTGCACCCACATTAAATGGTTGTGTTTCTTTTCTTTACCAACCTTAGGATTTAACGACAAGTGTTGTGGAAATGAGAACAATATTTTATTATTGGAAAATGAAATTATTCCCTCTATCAAAATTTTTGTGATTGATTTGATTGGAACTTGCACAAATTAAATAAAAAATCTTCAAAATATAATATCTTTATCAATATTGAATTTTGAAACCTTGGGTCAACGGTTAAACAAGACCGCCGTGGGGAGGGGTGGGTCGTCATTACTCATTGATGGGGTTTATTCCATTAAAAAAAAAATGGTTTAAATACTTGAAAATAATAATTTCTCTTAAAAATTTTTCTTTTTATTTATAAAGTTAAAGGAACAATATATGAAAAACGAGAGAGGTAAGAAAATCCCGTAGAAAATAAAAGAACCGTCACTTGTGAATTGTACGCTCGTAAACCAATTACATTTAACAAGTCGCTCTGCCTGCCAGTAAATTATGTTACATGGACTTAAACTTAAGAACTTCTAGCATGATTGACATTAAGTTACTATTTAAGCTAAATCTTAATTTTTTTTAATAAGTATAACATATGGGGTGGGAGATCGAACTCACAACCTCTTGGTTAGACATATATACTAATTATCACCGAGCTATGTTCATTTTAGCTTAAGCTAAATCTTAGTTGATGGATTATGATGTGTTTAATTTTTTTTGGTACATATTTAAATAGCTGCAAGGAAATGGAGAATTTTCAAATATTTCAAAGTGGGTAAATAGGTTAAATTTAGTTGTTGCATGTGTTATTTTTTTTATTAATTTGATTTTTTGTTAAATTTTATAGCTCATGAGTCATAATTAAGACTGCCAAATATGATAGATAAATAATAGTGATATATGAATTATTGAAGAGGTTTGGTTGTTTGGAGAGCTCATCTAACTTTTGGATTTTTTTTTTTTTTTT